GCGGGATTTACTCTAGGTTCGGCCTGAACAGTCCAAGCCTTGAGGAATTCCTCAACGTGTGTGCCGGTGGAAGGGAAATCACCCAACAAAGATCAATTCTTTATCCGCCTTGTGACCAAAACGGCAAGAACAACCAACAACCATCACCGATCAACACGGAACATGGGCTTTACCTTGAGGAAAATCTCTTCGTGTGTGGGCGCGGGTTCGGTGGAGGAAATCCTCAAGAAAATCCCCACAATTTCCTGTACATGTATCGCTAGTGCGCAGACATATAATTGTATAAAAACAACACAGCTTGTATAACAAACATCAACTCAGACAACACTATTATGAATATCAATATTTATATAACATGTTAAATTTGCATTTATATTCAGTTTTTCAAACTTTTTTTAAAATTTACCTTTTCACAAATCAGATTCCCCTTTTTCTAATCAAATTCACCCTTTTGCAAATTACACTCACCCTTTTGCGAATCAAACTCACTCTTTCTACTACGTATATCTATTGGGTCCAAAACGTAAGTATTTACTAATTCAGGGTTTTCAAATTAAATTGACCTGTTTTCGAATCAAAATCACCCTTTTGCAAATCAAATTCACCTTTTTTGCAAATTAAATTCACTTTTTTTTAAATCAATTTCACCGTTGTACAAATTAAATCTACTTTTTGTTAAAAACCAAACTCACCCTTTTGTAAAACAAATTCTCTATTTTCAAATCATTTCATCACCTTAATTTGCAAAAGGGTGACTTTGGTTTGAAAAATTAGTGAATTTGAATTGCAAAAATATGAATTTAATTTGAAAAAGGGAGAATTTTATTTGCAAAAGGGTGATTTTGATTTACAAAGGATGAATTCAATTTGAAAAAAGAGTGAATTTCATTCACTGAAGTTGATTTGCAAAAAGGTGAATTTAATTTGCATAATGGTAAATTTAATTTGAAAAATGGTACATTTAATTTGTAAAATTGTAAATTTACTTTGCGAAATGGTAAATTGAATTTGCGAAATGGTAAATTTGATTTGCAAAAATATTAATTTGATTTGAAAAATGAGTAATTTTGAATTGCAAAAAGTATGAATTTAATTTGAAAAAGAGTGAATTTTATTTGCAAAAGGGTGATTTTGATTTACACCTTCTATAAACTTCTCCCTCTGCTCACTTTTGTGAAATATGTCTTCAATTCACACCCATCTAAAGAAAATATTATTATTTATTATTTTTGGGCATTTAAATAATGAAAAATCTGTATTGGTAAACTTGTCTTTGACCCAAATATTGTTCAATTTCAATATTATCAATACGTAATCGTTGGTCAATAAGAGTGTAAATAAATAGCAAGGTAGAGCCACGTCCGAAAATATTACAGTGATCGACTGGTAGAGTTAACCATAGTAATTTAGATTTGCATAATATTTTATTATCTTAAAAAATGAGATCTCACTACATTCTGGACACATTTAGCTTGATTAATTTTGTTTACCAAATGAATTGAGAGGTAATGAGTAATTCCCAAATAATTATACGTTTTGAGAGGTGAATCTATGCAGATTGAAGTTCAGAAGCGGCCAAGAGAATCATTTGTCATCTAGGAACAGAGCAAATAACAATGGACTAAGTAATGCTACATGTTTGACTCCTTTAATAATTTTGAAATCTTTACGCTTCTTCCCCATCGTACCAAACGGACAAAAGGTATTAGTTGAAAGCCCATTTATCGCAACAACCATTTTACAACGACCCATGATATGCACCTTATGAAACGTTCCCCATGACCCATGAAATGTATTTGTTTTTCACGTTGAAAACCATTTTTTTCGTAGTTATTTTCAAATAACCTTTCCACCAGTCGACAAACGTTAATAATCTAAGGTTTCTCTGTAGTATTAGCATGGGCTTAGAATTTGCGTACGTCCGTTACCTGGGTAAACGACTAGTTTTCTGGGTGGTCCTCGACCTTCTTTTATGAGGTCAAATACAGGAAAAATCTGGGCGAAAACAAATATACCGTTGTTATAACGAAATAGGATTTTCTTCAGAAAAGATACTTTATATAAGTACGCAACTCGTTCTTCCTGGTCCGCTTATTTCCGCTGTTTTTGCTTCTCCCGAGCATACGTACAGAACATACTCGATAAATCCTTCATAGTTGCATCTTTTCAATCCCGAAATTCACTCTTCACCACGGGACAGTAGCACGTCGACAACGAGGCTTATACAGTTTCGCTATAGCAATTAACAGGGCAGAAAACCCGTTTTTTTAATGGTTTTTCCTCTCGGTTATCTGATCGCCGGGGGTTTCGTTCTGCCTAAAACACATATGTCGGCACACTTATGGACAATCCCGAGTCAGGTACTTGTTTTAAGGGTCGGCGGAACACGTTCTGAGATTTTTTGTTCTCTGACAAATGAAAATTGCCGATTCTCCGAATTTAACGGACGACGTTGTAAACTAAGTTGTAACCTTTCATCCCTCGACGATTGTATACAATATAAACCGACTCGACAAAAATCAACTAACTTAATTTGGAAGCTTGATTGGTTAGTACGTGAGTTATTTGTCAGTCGTGTCCTATTATTACAAACCCACCACTGAAGATGGCGACAAACCGAAACGCGTCGGAAAAGCTAGCCAAACCGACCATTAAACCCCACCAAGTCGTCCTATCCGAATCCATCAAACGTATCAAGCATGCGATGAGTTCATCGTTTGTCAACTTTCGTAAACTAATCTTCACGGTCGTGCAAACCAAAGTTACATGAACATTCCTGAAACAAAGACGGGCTTTGCATTGATTTAAGGAGGTCTACAGCAGTCAAAAAAGGCAAGCACCTGGCAACATGTACGCCTAGGTCAATTTTATCCACCAAGTTTGCACACAAAAAATATATATATAAATTTTGATTGTGTTTCCACTGTACGTACGTGATGATAATGGTATTGTTCTAATAATAATCGGCTTAATAAATCCTTTCAATTAATTATTCGGAAATCGTGAGATGCGGTCTGGTGTGATGTAGGTTTCAGAAAAACATTTTCTTTATCGTGCAACGTTTCGATCGTTATTGAGATCATCTTCAGGGCCTGGGATTTACAAACACTTTGAGTGAGTAGAAATGCTTTGATTGAATATAATAAACAAATTCACTAATTTCGTGGTCCGCTTGACCAATTAATATATTACAATTTATCTCAACTAAAAACCTTAATTAATTGTAATAATAAACAAATATTTTTTTGCATTGTAAAAATTCACTTGTTTCCACATCCTACATGTATTTGTTAAATTTAAACAATGTTTGTAAATCCCAGGCCCTGAAGATGATCTCAATAAAGATCGAAACGTTGGCACGATAAAGAAAATGTTTTTCTGAAACCTACATTACACCAGATCGCATCTCACGATTTCCGAATAATCATCGACTAACGGTCACTAATCACCACACATTTCAATTAATTATACTTATTATCTAAAGTCTTGGTTGAGATGAAAAATTTAGTCACGAGAGGGATTCAAACCCAGGACCTTCGGCTCAATACGCCGCTGCGCTAACCACTTGAGCTATCGTGACTTCAAGTTAATTTAATAAATAATAAAGGCTTAATCGCTGGCAAGGGATCAGAATCACTTTACATGATTGTTTTTCTTATTCTCAATTAAAATTTCATGAGTTGAGCAGGGATTTGAACCCAGAGTGGCAGATAGGAGTTCGATCACCCCACTCGCCCAAACCGATTCCCTTCTATTTGGAAAATTTAATTGCAAACGTTTTCTTTGTTCATCCAATTCAGACATGACATTTGTCAATTGGTGCCAAAACAGCAAGGTGTAGCATGAAAATAGGATTAGCCTAACAGGTTAATCAGGCGATACAGATTTAACGAATTAAAAAAAAAGTTTTACAGGCATGTTTGTCAAATTTTTAAAAAGTAGGCTTTTCCAACAGTGCGGCACTTAGACTCACAAATTGTTAAATTAAGAGATCGAGTTTCCGTTTGTGTGCGGCCTTTCAAATAGCCGAGATGGCGATCTGTCGCTTAAAGGATGGGTGGAATAAAAGACCCATTTGACAATACGGCTGAGATCAGGGATATTGGAAGCTTCCATTAAAGTCCATGGATGGACTTTGTCAACTGATGGAAATTATTGAAAAATAAAATTTTCTGATGAGAGAATTGAATAAAATTTGCCTTCGAGAGGAGGTGAAAACCTTTTGACGCTATAACAACGAAATTGCCTGGTGACAAGAAAATATCAATGAAAAACCAGTGGCCAATTAGAAGAACCAGGTGCAAGAAAATTTTACTTTTAAGATACAAAAATTATTTTAATTTGTGGTGTTTAGTGATCGTTAGCCAATGATTACTTGGAGATCGTGAGGTGCGGTCTGGTGTGACGTAGGTTTTAGGAAAACATTTTCTTTATCCTGCCAACGTTTCGATCTTTATTGAGATCATCTTCAGGGCTCAAAGTGTTTGTTTTCTGCGTAATTGTGTCATTCTTGTGTGTCGTCTTGAGAGTGCCCACCGCACCTCACGATCTCCGAATAATTATCGACTAACGGTCACTAATCACCACACATTAATATGTACTTTTCGCCTGATAAAATTAAATAAACATAGTAACTTCCTTCATGATCACCCAAAAGATCGGCAATACCTTGTATGTTTATGACTATATTTTCTTTGTGAAATTTTCTTCTTGTGGCCTGCGGGGTGATGAACCTGTATTTTGGTCATTGCCGGTCATTTTTGGTCTGCCTAACCTCCTCGCAGATATGTCTTGTTCATGACATTTCGACTTCTCATCATCTTCAGTGTCGGTGTGATTTTTCAATTTTTCAACTAAACATGAACATAAGACTATGTATATTTGTCAAAATAAGGTTAAAATTGACCATTTTATGAATACGATTTCAGCATTTTTCCATTTTGGCAGCTAACAGTGTGACAGATAAATGATATTCACTACAACGTTGTTTTTTTTTGTAGAAATGTTTCAAATTGGACGAGTCGTCACGGCTAAGTTCAAAACCCGCTTTAAAGCTAAGTTAAAAGGCAGTGAAGATGTCGAGAAGTCGAGCCTCGAACGAGAGACCAAACCAGCAAAGATTGGCAGGCCACAAGTAATAGGTATCGACCAAATTACTGGTTCATTGCGACAAAGACCCCGTGGAGAAATCATACAATATTATTTTTAAAACATAATCGATTTATAGAATAAAATTTAAATGTGAGCAGAAGATCACATGACGTAAATCACAAGAAGAGTTACAACCGATAATTTTTGCGAAAGAAAGTACTGGCAGAAATTTGCATTGCATATCCAAAGGGTTTTAAAGCAGAACCCTGTACATGCCTTTTTTCCCAACATCATTAATAAAATCTTTCGGATTGTTTTAAGAACATTTTTAATAGTTAATTATTTTGGGACAAACGTATCAAGGAATGATTTGGATGTTTAAAAAATAGAATTTTATGGATTTGTTATGGCTTTACCCACTAGAAAACATTCTGTTTCATGCAGTACAAAATCCACCATAAGGTAGGTTATGTCGTGTATGTTTCTGGATATAACTAATGATTTTTAAAAAGATATTTTTGAATTCCACACGTGTTTTTTAGCGAATGATGGCGAATTTCCGCAGGGGTTCTGCTTACAAAAAACTCTGTAAGCAGTACTACAAAAACACCGGAGTGAATTTATATTTTAACCATTGAAAACATTGAAAAATACATGTTCCCTCACAATGATTAGATGTGCCGTGTATAAGCATCTGCATATAAATTAATGCATATTTGTTTAATGGCCATAATTGACCATATTAATTATTCCTTTTATTTAAGGTTTTTGTTGAAATGTTCTGCATTTTTGAAAAATTGTAATGCGTCTTTTTTATTTTTTTACAAATGATAGAAAGGGAATTTTTCGGTGGTTCTTGTTACAAAATTCGGTAAAAATTCAAGGATATTTGCCTTTCTCTATTTTGAAAGGTAGTGAATTTACAATGTAACCCTGTCCCTCGTAGGGTCTGTTCAGTTTTATGAGAGGCAAAATATGCTTTTCAGCCCATTGACTTTATTTTTGTTTACAAAAAGAGGAATTTTAGGGTTTTGTTATCGTTTAAACCGCGTGAAAACATTGAAAATGCTTCACGTTCCCTCAGAATGATTAGCTGTGTCGTGCATAGGTTTCTGCATATAATTAATGCAATTTGTGAAGAATTATTATGATTTCTTATTTTTTATTTATTTCTATTTATTTTATTTTATTTTTATTTTATTTTATTTTATTTCTTTTATTTTTTTACAAATGATAGAAAGGGAATTTTTCGGTGGTTCTGATTAGAAAATCCGGATTTTGCCTTTCCCTCTATTCGCAGAGAATTGACAATTAACGCTTATTGAAGTTTTTATGAAGGGCGGAAAAGGTCAATTTATTTATTTTTTCCGAAAGACTTTGTGACCTTACGTTTACAAAAAGGTAATTTGAGGGATTTTTAATGCTTTAAAACATTAACATTAAACGTGAAAACATTAATAATGCCCCCCCCCAGAAGGTTTGATATGTTGTGTAAGGTTAGACCAATAACAAATAAAATGTTTTATAATATTTTTGAATGGACAACGCGGTTTTTCTTTTTTTAAGAATGTATGTTAAAAAAAAGAAAATTTCCGCAGTAGATTTGGTGACAAAACCAGTACTAATTCAAGCTGAACATATTCCTGTCACCTTTTAGCAACTTACCCTCTATTTCAAACGGGGGTGAGTGAATTCACAAGCCTCATATGATCTGTTGAATTTTGCAGGAGCAGAAATGGCAAAAAATTTCGTTAATACATGTGAAAAAATTCAAAATGGTTCGTGTTGCCGAGAAAGCTTTTGCGTTATTAACTAATGAAATTTTTGATATATTTCCGAATACGAATATTTTTAGAGATGTGAACACGTGAACAGGGAATTTCCGCCGTCAGAATTCATAAACGGGTAAAAAATTCACGTACAGTTGAACCTATATATTATATGTTTATTTTTTACATATTTTTTAGAATAATGTAAAAAGGTATTTTCCGCAGTAGTTCCGTTAAAAAAATCAAGGGTAGTTGCATTTCTGTATTTTCAAAGAGTGAATTTACGATTCAACCCTCGTAGGGTCTATTGAATTTTCGCTTTTTGACTTTATTTTTGTTCAAAAAAAGGAAATTTTACGGATTCGTTTCGGTTTAAATCACGCAAAAACATTTAAACGCTCCATGCTCTTCCCAGGAGGTTGGATATGCAGTTTATAAGTTTTTGCAAAAATGCGTGAATTGCCAACCTTCCTCTACTTTTCAAAAGGATTGAGGAATTTATAATTTAACCCTCTTATGGTCTATTGAATTTTATGAGGGGCAAAAAGGCCAAAATTTGGTTTTTGGACGAAGGACTTTATTCATGCTCCATGTACTCCCAGATGGAGAGATGGATGAGTAATGATTTTTTAATATATATTTTTGAATGAACAATAAGTGTTTTTTATGAGAATGACAAAAACGCAAATTTTCGCCATGGTTCTCGCAAAAATCTGTAAATTCACGGATAGATGTGCTGATTGTCAACCCTCTTCTTCTTTTCAAAAGGAGTGAGTTCATCTACAGTTTAACCCTCCTAAGGTCTATTGAATTTTATGAGGGGCAAAAAGGCCAAAATTTGCTTTTTGACTTTATTTCTATTTTAAAAAGGAAATTTTACGGATTTGTTACGGTTTAAATCTCAAAAAAACGTGTGATATTTAGTGACCATTAATTAATTATTATTTAGAGATTGTGAGATGCGGTCTGGCGTGAAGTAGGTTTAGAAAAACATTTTCTTTACCGTGCCAATGTTTCGATCTTTATTGAGATCATCATTATAAACATTGTTTAAATTATACAAATATATGTAGGATGTGAAAAAATGAATTTATACAATGATAGAAATTTTAGACTCAAACAAAGTATTTTGTAGTTTGTACTCATCAAAATGTTTGTTTTTTGTGTAGATGTGTCATTATCTTAATATCTCACTGGCACTCTCACCCGACACACAGTAGTGACAGTAGTGTTCATTTTCATAAAAAAACATATGTAAAAATATATTGAAAAAAAATCATTACTCATGCATGGCATCTGGAAGTACATGGAGCATTAGTAAAGTACTTCGTCCAAAAAACAACTTTTGGCTTTTTTACCCCTCATAAAGTTCAATAGACCATACGAGGGTTGAATGGTAAATGCACTCACTTCTTTTGAAAAGGAGAGGTACGTTGGCAATCCAATTATCCGTGAATTTACCCGCTTTTGCAAGAACCACAGCAAAAATTCGCCTTTTCTAATTCCTCTGAAAAAACGTATTCTCCACTGAAAATTGTCTTTAAAAGATTTACGGCAGCGTTATTTGTTTCCCTATGTTCCAAAGCCATAAAAATTCCCTAAAGTATGATTTTTGTTCCAAACGTGTGGTGATTAGTGACGTTAGTCTATGATTATTCGGAAATCGATCGTGCCAACGTTTCCATCTTTATTGAGATCATCTTCAGGGCCTGGGATTTACAAACATTGTTTAAATTTAACAAATACATGTAGGATGTGGAAAAAAGTGAATTTATACAATGCAAAAAATATGTTTGTTCCAAACAGTAATAAAAACCTTCGGCCAAAAAGCATATTTTGACCTTTTTACCCCTCATAAAATTCAACAGATCATATGAGGCTAGTGAATTCACTCACCCCCGTTTGAAATAGAGGGTTGCTAAAAGGTGACACGAATATGTTCAGCTTGAATTTGTACTGGTTTTGTCACCAAATCTACTGCGGATTTTTTTAAAAACATAAATTAAAAAAAAAAGAAAAAACCCCGTTGTCCATTCAAAATATCGTAAAACAGGGTGGGGGACGCGGTAAATCTGGGAAAATTTCTTTGATCATAAACATCATCCACCATGCCGCAATCGTAGAAAAACAGCAGAACCCAAATTCAAATATCGCAACACTCACACAAAACCAATATGGCACCACACTTATTTGAGTATGAAATACTTGGTTCAAAATTTATATTTACATCTTAAATTGTATTTTTTCCAAACAAGATGTTTTGTAATTTTACCCAGGCCCTGTAGATGACCGGAATAAAGGTCGAAACGCCAGCAAAAAAGGTGTTTTTTCTAAACTACCCCATTCTTGACCATTCCTCACGACTTCAACAAATTATATTACTATTAACCACTAATCATATACCTAATACAAAATAAATAAGGTTAGATAAACAAATCATAGACAATAAACAAATAGCAATAAATACGCAAACATTAAACAACCCTGTATCTAATTCCATTTTCTAAATAAACAAATTATTATTTGCGTGGCTAACATTTCAACATTGAACAATTTTAAATCCTCAGATTTTTTTATTATAAATTATAAAATAACAGGTCAGTAAGAAACACACATTGGAAAGAGGGTTTGTTTATCTTTTTTTTTAAATTCTCCGATATTTGCCTTTCTCTCTATTCAAAAAGAACGACTTGACAACTTAACTCTCATAAAGTTCGCCTATTGAATATTTTTATGATCCGCATTTGTGGGAAAGGGCCAAATTCGGTTTTTGGCCTGGCCTAAGGGTGAAAGAAGGGGCAAAGGGCGGAGCGGAGAAATGTTCCTTTCCGTCCCATAGAGGAGTTGTTGGCGTCGGTGGGGATGGACAAACGGCCTCTGGTGGGGGTGAAATCCCTCCCCAAAACCGATGGTGGGACGTCCCGTATCCAGAGATCATTCCTCAACCCGCTTCTAGTTCAGTTTCGTTTGTTAGTCCTTTCCGTCGACACAATTGCGTCTTTTCTTAGGTTATGTGATAAATTATTATTTGTATCGTTATTCGGAACCGGCCTGCCCAAAAAACAAAAACGGTAAGTTAAATTGCACTGGTAAATTCGATTTTTTTCCAGGTGGTTTGACTGTCGGTTTTCACCGGGACGTTGGGGTGGTTTCGACTCCCCGAGTGCCGGGATCATCCGAGGGGGTTTATAACTTGCTTAGTAGGGGTAGGTTATGGATCAATACAACACCCAAATTTCTACTTCTTGTCTTATGGAGTTTTCATCGTTTGGCATACGTCG